AACAACAGAAATCTGTCGAAATATGCAAGGAATTCGTTGTCAAATGACGCTTTCAGAACCCATAAAGATTGTGTTCTGAACGTACAATACAAATAATAACGTAAGATCGACACCAATACAATAAAGTAAATAAATTTTATAAGGGGTAGAAGAACGAAAAAGAAAATGAAAACTAAAATCGAATAACAGGAAGCGAAAAAAGATGAGAAGTTAGATCTTACTGGAAACGTATTTCATCGCTGAGGGCAAACGGTATCATCAGCTTTGATGGTTGCAATTTGCGTATCACGGGGTCGAAAATGGTGCTGGCATAGTGTAGGATCTCAGTTGTAACACAAAGTTGCAATCCTCAGTCCTGTGTAGGTTTTCAGTGTCACGTTCCACAAGTGACAAATATTCTTTCTGTTCAGCTGATGCATTTAACAACTAGCATATCCTTACGCTGCTGAATTTTAAAAAAAGTAAGGGAGGAACCGGCTGAACTGTCATTTTCTGCTTAGCAGCAAATTAACTTGGTGAAAACACTGCAAAATAACAAGAACTTCTGTATGTGATTTTCACGCGTTGTCACAAAACGAACGCATTAGCAGCAGCTACAGGTAAGAGGAAGATACCAAGACGTACCTCACTCTCAGGCTGCTTCGTAAAACGTTTAAAACTTTACTTCGGTAAAACATCATTTAACTCGACTCTAAACCTTTTACTAATGGAACGAGCAAAATGTTAGCGAGAAATCCTGTGAAAGCACTGATTAACATTCACGCAGCAAAATGAAAAAAAACACCTTTAGGCAATCGTACTCGTAAGCATGTAAACATAATCTAAAAAACGCTGTCCGAAAGAAACTGCATTCTCAGCTGGCATATTCCACCATTTGCTGGCCACCACCATTCTTCTTTGCTATGTGGAAGCAAGAACGACGAAGTCACTGAAGACGCTGAGAAGCAGCGGGGCATGGGGTTGACGATGCATTGAAAGTTGCTACTTCCGGAAGCCGGGCGGGAACACATGAATTGTGGATAAATGCTAATGTGGCGACAGCGCCGCTTTCTGCTGCTTAACTATTGAGCCCAAGCGTTTCTGCC